AAAGCTCTAAAAAAATAATGAACTATACTAAAGACAACATGGATAAATCTCAGAAACATTATGTTAGGGCACTATTAGATTCCACTTATATGAAGCTCTAGAAGGCAGAACTAATCCATGAAGTTAGAAGAAAAGTAGTTGAGTGGGGTGCAAATTGACTGGAAAGGGAGACAAAAGAACTTTCTGGGGTAATGGAAATTGTCTTATTTTGAGTGGTAGTTGTGCAGGTATATAGAATGGACAAAACTTACCACACGGGACACTTAAGAGATGAGCATTTTATTGGATGAAATTATATGTCTACGAAGATATGTGTGAAAAAACATGTAAAATAATTATTTTTAAAAAGCAATGGTAAACACTAAAAACTCATCACTTTCTAAATATCTTACTATTGTCTATAGTCTTGAGGTTCTATATAGCTTTTGTTTCTGGATGGTGAAAACACTTTGCAGCTGTGTGCTGTACTGGGCATCTCATTCCAACTTCACATTCAGTGGCTCTCCTTCCACTTGCTCATTCTACAAATGAGGAAGTCAAAAGCTTAGGTCAGTGAGGCCTGGAGATACAGATTTGGGAGCCTTCTGGGGTATGGATGGAAATGGAAACCATGGAAATGAGTAAGACAGTCCAATGAGATTGAAGAGTAACAAATCAAGGTGGATTGGATAGAGTCCTTGGAAACAGCAACATTTAAGGAACAGGCAGAGGAAGAGACACCCAGATATGAGCCATAGAAGGACAGCTAGAGGAAACCAGGAGAGAGTGGAGTCACAGAAACCAGGAAAAGGAACTTTCAGGAGGGATGTACTCAGAGGGGCAAGTATTACAGAGATGTTAAAAAAAAAAAAAAAAAAAAGGACACTGACATGTTTGTTGGATTTGACAAGCAGAAGATTAGCCATGGCCTTACAAAGGTCATGGAAAGGATTTATTTCAGGACCCTTCTAGCCTTATTCCATATCTTGGTAGATAGCACAACCATTTATTCAGTTGTCCAAGGTAGAAATTGGGGAGTCATCCTAGAACCCTTCTTTCCTACTTCCTACATTTAAGTGGTCACCAAGACCTGTGGGTGCTTGTATTAGTTAGTTTCTGTTGCTTACAACAAAAATACCTGGAACTGGGTAATTTATAAGAAAACAGAATTTATTGCTTACAGTTTCAGAGGCTGGGAAGTCCAAAGTCCAGGGAGCACATCTGTTGAAGACCTACTTTGGTGGTGCTTTCAGCAACACAGGGTGTCACATTGTGAAAATGGTGGAGCAGAGAGACAGTTCCTCACATGCTCTCCTTTTAAAGCCCTCAGAACCATGCCCATGACCACCATTGTTAATCCATTCACTAGGCATGGTCCTCACAATCTAATCACCTCTTCAAGGCCCCACCTTTCAGTTACCATACGATTTCCCACCTCAACAGTTACAGTGGTGATTAAGCTTTAATGACTCTGGGGGCATTCAATCCACTGCAGTGCTCCACCTGAATATTTCTCACTCCCCCACCTTTACCCCTCACTTCCACTGCCTTGTCCATTCACTCTCTCATTTGAACTACTGCAGCAACCTACTCTCCCCTCACTAATTCAGTCTTCCTTTCTGAGTGATTTTTCTACCATACACATCTTATTATATCAGTTCTGTGTTTTAAAAAAATTATTCCCTATAGCTGGTATTTGTAACCTGGAGTCTATGAATTTAATCAGATAGAATGAAAATTGTGGGCATGTACATACAAGCAAGCACATGCATCTTGGGAAAGACAGAGCTGTAATCAGAGGAGTCCAGGACCCAAACGTGTTTAATAATAAATGCCTTTAGTCTAAATACCTTCTCTGCACAAAATTCAAAATCTTTTATGAGCTGGCTTCTCTGTACCCATCCAACGCCATTCGCTGTTCTCTGTAGGTCTTTATGGACCAGCAATACAGATTGGCTTGTAGCACCCAGAATGTGCCATATGTTCTCTTTTCCAGGTCTTTGGGTTATTCTTCTTGCCTGGAATACCACCTTTTCCCACTGTCTACCTTTTACCTTCAGGTGTCACTCATAGAGCTCTTCCTCTTAGACTCTTTTCTGCACAAATTCTGCTCTGCTCTCTCCACTCTCACTGCGCCTTCTAGCATTCACTGTGTTCTGTTAAAATTTAGTTTACAGGTATGTCTCCCAGTCTGGACTGTAAGCTCCTTGAGGGGCGTGGCTGTATTTTTTCATTCATGCCCAGTACCTAACATATCATCTGTCTTTTGGGATACACAGATGAAGGGATCCATCAGCTATAGGACAAACATGTGTCCTTTTCACTCGTAGGTGCTCTTGATCATACTACAGAATGGATAAAAGAATCTGTAAATGAAGAATTACTCTCTCTTTCTGAGACTGCTTTAACTACTGGGGCCGAAAATAGCTCCAAGCCAAACCTGAGCCCTACGCTGGTGCTAAATAACAGTTACTTGAAACTGCTACAGTGGGATTATCAGAAAAAAGTATTACCAGAGGTAAGTGATTTATTTTTTCCTTCCTCAAGTTTTGCAGAGTTTTAGTTCTTAAGTTCTAACTTTGAATCAGCTGATCTGTGTTTCATGTGGTTTAATGAATTTACTGAAATCAGATAAAAATGGGAGTTTGGATATGACATTGCTTGTTTTACAGTTTCATGTTATTGAGCTTCCCTTTCTATTTTTGCATTTTAAATAAATATGCTAGACACTCGTGACAGATGGAGCACGTCTTCAGGAACTGACAGAAAAGCTGAATCAATTGAAAATTATTGCCTGCCTGTCCCTAATTACCAACAACATGATGGGTGCTATTACAGAAGGCCTGCCTGAGCTTGCAAACAGGTTAAAAAGGATTTCAGCTGTACTACTTGAAGGCATGAACAAAGAGTAAGTTTGAAATGTTTGTATCTGCTCCCCATTGTATTAAGGCTCTGCGTGTGTTTCAGAAAACGAGAATAACCTTGGACATCTGGATGTGATATTCAGGACTGTACTTTAGAAAATCTTATCTTACGCCTTCTTTTTCTAGAATTTCTTTTAATATCTCTGAAGGCTTAGATGTCCTTTCATAGGAAGGGAGAGGTGTTTTCCATGACAAGTGCCAGGGTGAGTGTAGTATTTCCACTTACAATGGGTGTGTGCAAGACCTTTTCTTTGACAGTACTGTGGAAAAAACAAAACAGAAACCCACCAAGCTGTGTTTAGAATTGCTCTATCATAGAGGGCTTTCCAGGTTCAGTTGTTCTGACCCTATCATTTTTCTGCAGTGACATGTTTACTGACTTCACTGATCCACTCTGCTATGAAGTCTTTAGAAGTTGTGACAGTTTTGTCCTTCAGAGAGTGAAGGTTTTGTTTTCACTAAATTCATCTCATATCATACCTTTACCAAATGCTAGAATCCCATATAGATTTTGCATTTAGATCTTCTCGTTGGAAATCTTGTCCAAGTCACACTCTGAATAAGACTTCAGCAGCACACATTAGTCCTCCAGAAGGAAGGGATATCATAGTTGAGGAAATAATTCCTGTCCTCTGTGGCTTTAGGGACATTCCTGGCTATGCTGTGGTTAGTCATATGGACCAAACAATAATGTCAGAAGATCATATATTAATTTTGCCCACCAGTTTAGCCTAGCCTACTTTTTGCAATTAGACTTCAACTCTACTTTTGTTGGGGCACCCCTCTTCTCAAAAATCACCCTAGTCCCAAGCCTGAGGGCCTCTTCACCTTCAGAGCTTTCCTTGATCTAACCCAGGGGTTGGCAAACTTTTTGTGTAAAGAGACAGTAAATATTTTAGGCTTTACCAACCACATATAGTCTTTTTTTTTTTTTTTTGTATATTCTTCCTTGTATTTTTTTTTAAACCTTTAAAAATGTAAAAAGCAATCTGAGCTTTGGGCCATATAAAAACAGGCCACAAGCCCATGGGCATTTGCCAACCCTTGATAGATCCCCCTTTACCTTCCTGGTAATGTTTCCTATTAACTCTTCAAAAATGTGACCTCCGTTTAAATCAAGATGTTGTTCTCCTTTCTTACTGCCTATGCAGTTACTCTGCTGACTCTGCTCCATACCTGCTCTTCTGTCATTGTTCTGCCTTTCCAGATTCTCATACATATTCCTCAAGATATAGCCCAAATCTTTCATGGAACTAATTCTCATTTATTTTTCTTTTTATTAATCCTTGTACAACTTACTTTGTCCCATACGTGTTAACTTTCTTAATTGAGAACATGTTCCAGGTTTTTCCTTAGTAGCTTGCTATAAAATACAAGAATAAAAAGACTGATTAACATTTTCCCTTAAAGAAATCCTGTACAAGTCAGAAAATTCCTAGTCTTGGTCAATGGCCACATGTTTCCATGGGTATTATATGAGCCAGCTCCTCCTACTGGTTCCCTTTTCAGGTGTTTTCAGGGGTATGTCCTCTTTATTTCCATCATTGAAGAGAGATACAACTATCCTCCTGTCCTCCCACCCATCAGTCAGTGTGCACATAAATTACTTGATAAAATTCTAGACTATTAAGAGCCAAAAGAAGCCCAAGTGGTTATATAATCCAAACTTCTCATTTTGAGCTGAAGCTTAGAGAGAAAATAGAACTTGCCATGGGCTGCAGAGCTAGAAAAAGGCAGACCAAGGCCTGAGCCCTGGCCTGACTGAAGACACTGCCCTTTCTGCTGATTCTGCTGCTAACCTGCCAGGCTTGTCTATTTCATATTCCAAGACCCAAGACCTATAATGAAAAGAAAAAACCTTTTCTGATTTTGCAGTTGGTTTTATCTTAGCATTTCCCTATACTGGGTAACCTTTACTTTTTAGAAACTTTTATTTATTAAGCCTTTAGTGAACATACAGTACTACTTAAGTATTAATATAAAGCATATGAGAATACTTCAAAAAGTTCATGGAAAATAGAATTGAAATATAATACAAATATTTCCGTGAACTTTTGAAGTACCCTCATATGAACTTTATGGAGTATTCTCATATAAAAAGTGGTTACTATGACAGACTTTCAGGTCAGACAGACCAGAATTTAAATTCTAGCTCTGCTATTGACTTGTTATGTACACTTGAACAAGTTTCTGAATCACTCTGAGCCTCACTTCCTCCCTTGTAACAAGGGAATAATAATTGTACCTACCTTGGAGTTGTGAGAACTTAACATGATTCGTGTGCAGCATTTCATACAGGTGTCTGGCATATAGTATGTGCTTGATGAATGTTAGCTGTTAATAACTAAGTTATTAAATCATCCTCTTTATAGTTTTATCTGGGTGTTTATCTGCCATTTTATTGGTTTGTTTAATTTTTTCCCCCTATGTTAGGAAATGAATACAGTCAATTCTCATTATCCCCATAATGGATGGGGTAATAGCATTCATAATAGAAAAAAGCAGGTGATCCCAAATAGTAGACTCAGATGCCATTCATATTTGGTTTGATAATGCATCTTGAAAACTAGCAAAAGTTTTGCCCTCTTTATTGTCAATAGGAAGCCATGACTTATGCTACAATTTAATTTTTCCTATTGCCTGAGAACTCACTGATTAAAAGCAGGAGAAAGCTAAGTCAGTACCTTGCAGTGGATAAAAAGTCAGGAGGTAAAAGTGTTGCCACAGCCTACCCTTGGGTTGTAGAATCCCAAAGACAGGTCCAGTTGGGTTTCTAACAAATTCTAGTTAAGGAAGAACATCAAGGACTTATTTCTTACTGCTGTTGATGATAATAATGATAAACCATTTTTCTCTTTTTCTTCTTTCTGTCATTAAGCATTGACTATGTATGTGCCTGACGATCTGCTAAGAGCTGCTATAGGCAATACAGCAAGTTTAGTGGTAAAGGGAGGACTTGAACCTAGGTCTGTGTGACATCACAGCTTATGTTCTAACTCACTCAGTTACATTGCCTCCTGTCATTGGGCCCTTCTCTCATTCTTTAATTCCCAACTTTGCACAGAGTTATTTTAAAGATCCTTTCTGTGTAATGAGATATAATTTTTAATCATCTTTCTTTAATAGTGAGGACCCAACAAATGCCCTTTCTAATCACCTCTTTTTTCTTACCTATTAAATAACCCACTCCTTAATTACTTTTTACAATTTTCTGGACTCTATATGTTTGGGATTATTCATCAGTTACTTAAAAGTAATAATGGGAAGGAGCTCATTATCTTTGATCATGATCAGTCAAGAGTTTTAGGTAATTTGATCTCTGAATATCTTTGTTTATTGTTTCTGATTGGTGTTGTACTGCTCAGGCACAGACAAATGAATTGATTCTACCTTATTTTCCAAGTACGTAAAAAAATGTATGAACGAATCTACTCAGACCAATAGGTTTATTTTAAGAAGTAAATTGGTGTTTTCTTTTCCTTTCTGATAGCGCTGCATGTAAGTGGAGTTGCAGACTTATTTTCAGGGACCATATTTTTCTACCTATACTTTCCTATTTAAACAATGCCTACACAATTGAATGGTTTTAATCATTTAAAAACCTGCTACATATGAAGGTTGGTAGTTGGGAGGAGTTACTATTTTCTAAGTTCATTCTAATAGAGATAATTATATTCTATATAAGAAAATTGGTAGACATCTGAAACAAGTTGCTTTTTTTTTTTTTTTTTTAAGATGACCAGTAAGGGGATCTTAACCCTTGATTTGGTGTTATCAGCACCACACTCTCCCGAGTGAGCCATGGGCCGGCCCAAGTTGGTGTGTTAAAAACAAAAAAGAATCTGATGAACTAAACATTTCCCTGATGGAATTTTGTTTTCTGTTTTGTAGGACCTTTAACTTGAAGGAAGTCCTGAATTCTGTCGGTGTTCAGACTTGTGTTGAGGTTAACAAGACCCTAATAGAGAGAGGTTTACCCACTTTAAATGCTGAGGTTCAAGCTAATCTTGTAGGTCAATTTTCAAGCATTGAAGAGGAAGACAATCCTATCTGGTCCCTGATCGGTGAGTCCTCATGGTTTTATAGATTTCTTCCTCAATTCATATTCTCTTTAACTTGCTGATTTTGATTAACGTAAAGTGTCAGTAAAATTTTAGGCTTAAATACATCACCTGCTTATGGAGGATGAATACTGAGAATATAAAGAAATGTTAATATTTTCAAAGGTCTGGGACTCACTACTGCTCTGTGTGTTATGCAGTGGGTGGGGGATGTTTCAGGGCCTGCCATCTTAACTATCTAGCCAATAGATTTAATGGAGAAAATAACACAATGCTGCTAGTAATGTTAAAATCCTAGATCAATGCAATAATTCAAACCAGCTGGCAGTATGCTCACAGGAAGATATCAGTTCTGCTGTTAGCATGCCTAAGGGAACTAAGGCCTTGTCGCGGTCAGGCTTCAAGAGACAATTAGGAAAAAAAGGCTGTGGAACTGGGAAGCATAATGGGTAGGTTCTTTCTGTACTTGTTGGCCAGGAAAGTGACTATGTTGGTGTCAAGCTGTGTTGGTGAGTTGGGAAAATAGAGAATGTATCAGTTAGGACTTTTTCTGTCACCTGTGACAGAGAATCTAAACTTTTAAACTATCTTAAACAAAAGGGCATTCATTTTCTCATATAACTGAAAAGACCAAGAGTAGTACTGACTGTGGTACAGCTTAATCAGAGCTCAGACTTTGTCACCAGCACTAGTTTTCCTGTCTCCATCTCTCAGCACTGCCTTCCTGTGGGCTGGCTGCCTTCTCAGACTCTTCTCATGATAGCAAGATGGCTTCAGCTCCAGCCTACATCTTTCCAAGTTTAAATCAAGCAAAAAAAACAAGGAGTCTGCCTCCCTGTTAACTCAGACAGTGACCCCATCACTGAGTCTCACTGGCTCCAGTTGGCCTGACTGCAGGTCATGTCCCATTCTTGGATCAGTCATACTAGCCAGAGGGGAAGGAGCTTAAGTCTGAAACATGTGTTCACTTCCTAGAGCTAGGATGGATCATTTTTACCTGTAACACCTGATGACAGTAGGAAAGAGATAGCTACCCCCAAACAAAGTCAGGGTACTGTGGCTATAAGAAGGAGGTTGGTGTGTGACAAAAAGAAGTGTCTGCTACAGAGGCTGAGGAATAAAGATTAGAAAGAAAGAGGGTGGAATTAGAATATATTAATATTCTAGGACTAATATGCAAGTTTTCAAAGTACGGCATTGACTGCCCTAAGAATACAAATACGTTTTATTATTTACTTGGAGCTCTCAAATGGTTTCTCATCCTTATCCCTGGGGACATGGAATGTTGGGGATCCAGGCCACACAGGCTACTTAAGTGGCTCAAGACCTCACACCTCCCCCCCGAAAATAGGCAGTGTTGTTGTTCACAGCATTGTGGGCTGCAGGAGAGTCTGCTGCTGAGAGGGGACAGCTGGTAACAGTAACAAACACAGCATAAACATAGCCACCTGTGACTGAGCCCTTACCTATATACCTTCATGATGATGTGCCTCTGTCCTTACCTGGGAGATTGTGTTCCTAGGAGGAAGAGGGGTAGAATGGGGACTGAGACACTGTCTAGCTGTCTCTGCCACATCCTGTTAGAACCCTACTAATGTGCAGGCCTTATGAGGACGGGGTGCACATTGTTCACTGCTATATCCCTGTACAATGCTGAGCCCTTAGATGAAATTTAATAAATGTTTATGGAATGAGTGAATGCATGGGAAACTGAGAGAGATTAAGGAACTCTTGCGTGAGGTCACATAACTGCTGGAGGCAGAGTTGGGATTGTTACCTTGCCTGTCTGACTCCAGAGCTCATATTCCTAACTGCTCTAACCAGCGTGTCAGTCAGAGTTGGAGCCCTGCTGCTTGTTGGCAGGGTGGCCAGAGTGTCAGAGTGTACTCTGTGCCCTGGCTTTAAAGATAAGGGAAGTACTTGCAATGTCAGGAGAGAGAGGGAAGCTGGGAGTCAGGAGATGCCTCTCAAACTCTGGAAAAGCAACTTTGGTTTATCCAGCTCTCCCCAGTCCAACTTTCCTGCCCTTTTGCAAATTGAAAGCATTTTTTAGCCTCATTCAAAGTATTGTTGCCTTAGCAACTTGAATGACTCACTTGAGCGTCTCTCTCCTTCCACTGTGGAAGTCAAGGACACGCCTTTGGCAGGGACTCTGTTTGTCTGCTCCTAACTGGACAGTATTTCTGTCACTTTAGTCTTGGCCTAAAAACCAACTCATCCTTCAGAGGAGACAGAACCACTTGTCGACATAATAACAATTTCAAGAAGGTTTCATTCTTTAAACCTTCTTGTGGGAAAGTGTTTGGACCATATCTGTGATGAATATAGATTGAGCCTATAAGAGCCAGGCAACCAGTCTAAAGGGAAATTAGTACACAGTTACCTGTTAATTTTCTGCCTTCAGAGGAGTTACAATAAATCCAGCACTTCGATCCCTGGGACATAAGAAGGGCTTGACCAGTGTTAGCCATGGTTTTCCTTCTGGTTCAGGGTACCCATAGGCTGCCTTCTTTTGTTCTTAGTTGACGTGCTATTTATTTACCAAAGGGATTACAATTCCTACAGTGTTCTAAACCTATTAAAAAGATCATTGGAAAAGGAGTTTTCTTTGAAACCAATTTTCTTTCAAATATATACAAAAACCAGGTAAAAATTATTTGTGGATTATCTGTTATGTAGATTATTTGTATGTCTACAGCCATCTACATTTCTAAAAAGTAACTTGCAATTGTAAAAGTGGTATATTCATAATTTCTCTTTGTGGAAAAACTACAGATAAGGCTTAAGTCATCTTTGCCCATCTTCTCAGTCCCCATTCCTCCCTAGCCCCCATTGTTTTCAGTTTGGTTTTTACCTTTATAGACCTTTTTCATCCCATTCTCACTTAAATTCAGTCAGCACTTATGATGTGCCTTCCACATGTCAGACCAAGAATATAAAGATAAAAATAAAGTAGCCCTCACCCTTAGAGAGTCCACTGTCTAAACAGAGAGACATATTCTCAAGTGATGATAATACATGGCATGATAGTCTGATAACAGATACTAGGGAAAGCCACAGAGAGGAGGTAACTTTAGGCTTGGTATTGAAGGATGCTTCTGAATCTGGGTAGAGATGAGATAGAAGGGCATTCTAGTAAGAATTCTGTCCAAGACATGGACACTTCACACTTTGAGTTCTAGGTCAGGTCTGTCTGGAATGCATGATTCTGGGGAGAAGTGTTTAGAGATAAGAGTTTCATTAATGCCATAGTTGTGCATGTTCAATGGAGTGTATTCTCCTTAGTAAACTTTATTATTTGTGAGGTTTCTGTTCCCAAAGCCAGAGAAAGCCCTTGAAGCGGCATGAGCTGTAGCAGGTCTAGTTGTCCAATACTATTGCAGTCTAACTTAAGTATGCAACTACACACTTTTGTGCAGTACTCTCAAAATCAGATACATTGAAGCAGTGAAGCAGGAAGAGCAGGGAAAATGGCAAACTGGAGTGCTAGTTGGGGTGGCCCTTCCTCAGTGCCTCCGGATTGTTGGCCCTGTGTGTGGGGTGACCATATCATTTATTGTCCAAACCAGGATACATTTGAGAGTGCTCTTTTTAATTATGCCAGGACAACAGGTGTACACTTTGACTCTCCTGAGGAACCTAGATGTGTGGTCACCCTTGCCATGTGATAATTTGGGACCCCTAGGATTGCCAGATCTCTAAATTTTTCAAGAGGAATCAAAAATATGGATTTCCGTGTGAAATCCCCTGATTGTAAATGGCTTCTGTTTAAAACAAACAGAAAAACAAACAAACAAACAAACAAACAAAACACTACATGGGCCAAACTGTCAATGCCAGTTTACAAACTCAGCATTAGTGCACATAACTCTAATTGTGGACATTAAGGATTGACTTCTGTAAAGGATTCTCCCCTACTCCTCAAGGACTCTACGTTTTTTGATAGTCCGCTATTGCTGCATAATAAGTTACTTCAAAACTCCATAGCTTAAAAAAAAAGCATATATTATTATTCACAAGTCTGTGGGCCAGCTGGGTAGTTTGTTTGGTTTTGCTAGACTCACTTATGCATCTGTGGTCAGCTGTGGCTTGAGTAGGTAGTGCTGCTGATTTTGGCTGGGCTTTCTCAGGAATTTGGGAATTGGTTGGCTACAGGCTGATCTAGAATGGCCCCAAATGGAACAACAGGGTGTCCCTCCACTTGGTCTCTCATCCTCCAGCAAATGCAGGCTTGTTCGTGTGGTTGTGGTAGGTAGAGAGAGCAGACATGACCATGTCTCTTGAGGCCTAGGCATGGAACTGGCACTTCACTGCATTCTATATAGGCCAGAGCAAGTCATAGGGCCAGCCCAGATTCAAAGGATGAGGCAACAGACTCCAGCCCTTGATGGAAGGAACTGCAAAGTCACCTTATAAAAGGCATGGGTACAGGGAAGGGTAAAGACTTGGGAACATTGCTGCAATCAACCTACTATAATTACTTGGTCTTGTTTTTTAAAATTATGTACTTTAATAATGGGACAGATAAGGGCCGGCCCGTGGCTCACTTGGGAGAGTGCGGTGCTGATAACACCAAGGCCACGGGTTTGGATCCCTATATAGGGATGGCCGGTTCGCTCACTTGGGAGAGTGTGGTGCTGACAACACCAAGTCAAGGGTTAAGATCCCCTTACTGGTCATCTTTAAAAAAAATTTTTAAATAATGAAACAGATAAAGAGTTTCTTTTTTTTCTTCAGATAAACGAATCCAGCTGTACATGAAAAGCATACTTTGTCTTCCAAGCCCTCAAAAATGCATGCCTCCCATGCCAGGAGGTCTTGCTGTCATTCAGCGGGAGCTAGAAGCTCTAGGCTCTCAATACGCGAGTATTGTGAATCTCAACAAACAAGTATATGGACCGTTTTATGCAAATATACTTCGAAAACTGCTCTTCAGCGAGGAGGCCATGGGGAAGGCAGATGCTTCACCTCCTACTAACTAAAGAGGAACTGACATTGGATAAGAGATTGGAAATCCAGCATTTGGTACCCAGGCCATTTCCATCAATGGCATTATAGATGTGGCACATTCTCAGTACTGTCTGTGGTGCAGTGTTAGCCCAAATCTGTAATCCAGTAAATATTAGCATTACAGAAGACGCACACATCATATAGACCTTTTTTGTGTATCATTTTCAAGTTTTAAAAACAGGTGTTTTTAATGACTGGAAGCCAATTTGTAATTAATTATATTACCTATGTAATACTTATAAATGTTTTCTTAAGCTTTTATATTTGGCTTATTCATTCAACCCTTAAGAAGTTGTTTTTCCCATTTGTCACTGTCAAATCTAATGATTTTTAATTTTGGTACAACTTCTTAAAGGGTTGAAAGTTGTGAGAATAACCAAGGGAATTGATGTTTTGAATAAATGATGCGAAGTAAGAATAATTGTATTTGAAATGTACAATTACAATTTATCAATGTGTTATAGAAACTTACATAGTAAGTCCTCAAATATGCCAAATCACATTTTATAGTACCAATTGTCAGTATTTATTTAGAATTTAAATTTAATAAGTACACTTTTGTGCTTCTACAAATTTTAAAGAAAACCTTTCTTGTTTGTTTAATGAAAATAGAAACAAATCCCTTCTAAAATTTTATTGTAGAGGTTGATTTCTTCTTACGAATTAATCTACTCTCTGAGAGAAACAATTTTGCACAAATATCTTAATGAATGTCCTTGCATTTCTCAGGCCATTGGTAAGGTTTATATAAGATTTTAATATTTTTATGTAAGGCAGGTCTGCTTTGAATTGGTTTACTTGTAAGAAGAAGGGAAGTTAAGTAAAATGAGATCCCATTCTCCATGAAGTTCACATCTGAAAAAGAAACAGTTGAACTTTGGATTTCTTAAGCATGTAAATTAACTAGCAAATGCCTTTTGTGCTGCTTTAAATCTTTACCCTGTTAAGACCAAGCGTACTTATGCTCTTCTAAGTATCATGATCATTTGCTGTTCTTGAGCATTAAATCAAACCTAGCAAAGCTGGACACTAGTTATTATTGGGATTTTAGGGAAATCCTCTTATCTTGGAATTACTCCTTTTGGAGTGTTGAGGGAAGCACTACAGTTTGCCATACTCGGTCTAGAAAGTGCTTTATTTGCATAAAATGCATGTTTGATTATTTTGTTTTCTAAGGACTCACTGAGCTGTAGTAATTTGGTGGAGAAAATGGGTAGGAAGTAAAGAGGAGTGTTCCTTTTTTCCCCAACCTCCTTTTTCTCACCACAACCTCCACCATTATCGTGTTCTTTCATGATTTTACAAAGTACTAGGAAATGATAGTGTGAATAAATTATCTTCAGTGCAATTATCTTTGCATTTCAGGGGATCTGAAGAAATATTGAATGTCGATTTTTTTTCACAATGCCCTATACATAAATCAACCACTCTATCCATTTAAGCAGCTGTGTGTACGTGGAATTTTATTTAAGAGCACATCATTGGTCTTACCCATTTTTTTCTTTCTATATTCACATTCTGCCCATTTTTTCCTCTTTTATTCACAGTCTGCTCATTTTTTCCTATGCTTAGAAACCATAAGGTGCTGAAGACTTTGGTTTTCATTTTCTCTTAAGCTGAAGTGGTTTTCAACTGTGCCGACTTTGGGGCATGGGTGGCAGGGAGGGTCTGACAGTAGAAAGGAAATATGCAGTCTGTTTTCTGTTGCTTTCTGAGGTGAATGATATACTTAACAGGTGGTGCACTTTTTTATTATCAGATTGGAATCCAACTGATACTCTTTTATATACTTGATTATACTGCAGTTGCCAGCAGGAAAACAATTTGCAAACATTTTTAAAAACACATTTAAAATGAAGGGCATTCTGCTTCTTTGTTTTTTAAGTGACAAAGTGAATTTCAATGTCTCAAATCTGGATTTATTAGGATTTTTTAATCATATTCCTTAGCATGTTGTTTATTTAGTTTTTACTTAACTTTTGAGGTTTTCCAAACATGGTCTTGTTTTGTATATTTGATTAAACACCATACACACATTTTATTTCTTCTACTGCTAAAACATATATTGTGTGCACTCACTAAATTTTAAAACATTAAAAATTATTTCAAGACAGCCATTGTCTCTGTTTTCTAAACCACCTTTGGGTTGCTTGGGGCTGAAATATTGGACAATCCTTATTGTAGTTGTTCTAGAATAATTCTCATGCTGACTGGCAGAGCCTTCTAGACATCATACTGTGTTCATTCACTCACTCAGTCAGCAAACACCTATTGAGCACCTATGTGCCAAGAAATATCCCCATTGTGATACATAGATGATTAGGCAGATACTGTCCTCAAGAAGTCTGTAATCTAATAAGGATAAACTTGTGAACAATTATAATGAAGTGTTGTAAGGGTTGTAAAGTGAGTACGCATAGTGCTAGAGGAAAAATTGTCAAACTCTATTTAATGGAGAAGAAAATTCTTAAGCTAAAACATGGAGGTTATGTAGGAACTTGCCAAGAGGCTAAGAAAGCAAAAAGCACAACAGGCCAATCGCACAGTAAGTACAATTGTATGGAGAAGTTGTGAGCCCAGGGACCAGCACAAGGTAGAAGAGCAAAAGTAATAAGAGTGAAACAGGAAAGGTATAAAAAGGTTCTTGAATGCCATGCTAAAAATTATTGTTGTTGCTTTGTCCTGAAAGGAATAAGGAATCATTGAATCTTTTGAAACAGGAGAAGGTTACATATTTATGTTTTGGAAAGATTTCCCTGCCAAAGAATACTTGTTGGTGGTAGAATATTCCTATGTGCTGTGTATGCATACATGCACTCTTACATGAACACATGGGACAAGCAATGGAAATGGACTCTGGCTAGGAGAAGCAGAAAAGGAGTTTATTGGATGGGCATGAAGTACCTCACAGAGTCTACTTAATCAATCTGGAAAATGGGTAGGAACCAAGGCTATGCAAGCTGCAGGAATCCAGCCAAGCAAGATTCAGTGCTGTGACATTAGAAGTTGATTTCTCAACTGTCCTTGCTGCTTTGTCTCATTTTTTAAAGATTTAAAGTCCCAATATCAATATTCAGTTGAGTGAGTCTGGGTTAAGTGCCCAGGCTTTAACTTACGGGGGATGGAATGAGGGAGTACTTGACTCTTAGACTCCTGTGGTCCCACCAAAATCATCCAATTAGGGATTTCTCCCAAATAGAAGGGGTATGCTGAGGGACAGAAAGAGAAAAAGAAATCCACTATAATGCACATTCATGAGGTCTTTAAAATTTGAACGTGAGAGATGTGTGAGGAGACCACTGACACCAGCAGTGTTTCTGAGAATGGTACGAAAGATGATGGAAGGAAGGGCATAGTTACACAAAGTCAACCTTTACTAGCATGTGTGGACAAACTGCTGAACAAATAGCTCCCCAGTCTCAGTGACCTCAGTACAAGCCCATTTCTCAAATTGTAGTTCAAAGCAGGGGGTAGGGTGGAATGTGGGGAGGCCCTACTCCATTTAACCATCCAGGGACGCACCCTCCATCCATCTTGTGACTGCTGTCCTCTAGACCTATTCACTCAGCAGATGGGAAAAAAGAAAATTACCCATTTCCGCTCGTGTTGCCATTGGCCAGAATTCAATCATGTGGCCTCATCTAACCACACGGGAGGCTGGAAAATATGCCTAGGAGAAGGAGACTGGCACGATCATTGGTAAGCATTAGCACTCTCCACCTCGGATCCCTTCGGCTTCCTCAAATAAGCCCCAGTGAAACTTCTCTTCATAAAAATAGGTTTAAAATCATGTGCCTGCTCTGATATTTTGGAGGTAGCTCCCCAGAGCACTATGATGACAGGATCTTTGATGCCAGATCCAGTATAATCAATAATGGATGATTAGCAAAATATGCTATGGGCATGGGGAGTGCCACCTTTGGTGCAACGTATTCTTACTTCTTGCATCTTTCACAAAATTAGAGTTTAGCTTATTCTACCTCTGGGGATGTTAAGTTCTGATAATTTTCATTCATTGTTCAGTAATGAGTATGAGAGTCACAAGACCTGAGTTTGAATTTACTCCTACTACTTAATAACTATATAAATTCAAG